AATTTTCTACGCATCACCAAGATCAATCTATGGAGAGACTAGAAACAAGAGAGAGGGGAGTGTATCTTCATACCCTTGAAGATCGCGACACGGAAGCGTTACAAGAACGCGGATGAAGGAGTCGTACTCGCAGCGATTCAGATCACGGTTGATTCCGATCTAAGCGCCGAACAACGGCGCCTCCGCGTTCAACACACGTACAGCTCGGGGACGTCTCCTCCTTCTTGATCCAGCAAGGGGGAAGGAGAAATTGGGGAAGAACTCCGGCAGCACGACGGCGTGGTGGTGGAGCTCGCGGTTCTCCAGCAGGGCTTCGCCAAGCTCAACGGAGGAGGAGGGGGTGTTGGAGAGGGGGAGGGTTGCGCCTTGGATGAGGTCCTACTGCCCTCCCTCCTCCCCTATATTTATAGGGTGGAGGGGGAAGGGGGGAAGCCCCTCTAGATGAGATCTAGAGGGGGGGCGGCGGCCAAGGGGAGGGGGCTTGCCCCCCAAGCCAAGGGGGGCGCCTCCTTTAGGGTTCCTCCCCCCCCCCCAACCCTAGGCGCATGGCCCCTAGGGGAGATGGCGCCCAGCCCACTTAGGGGCTAGTTCCCTTCCACATACAGCCCATAGGGCCCTCTGGGGCAAGTGGACCCTCCCGTTGGACCCCCGGAACCCCTTCGGTGGTCCCGATATAATACCGGGAAACCCCGAATACTTCTGGTGACCGTATAATGACTTCCCATATATAAATCTTCACCTCCGGACCATTCCGGAACTCCTCATGATGTTCGGAATATCATCCGGGATTCCGAACAACATCCGGTAACCGCATACTAATTCCCATAACAACTCTAGCGTCACCGAACCTTAAGTGTGTAGACCCTACGGATTCGGGAACCATGTAGACATTACCGAGACATCTCTTTGGCCAATAACCAATAGCGGGATATGGATACCCATGTTGGCTCCCACATGTTCCATGATGATCTCATCGGATGAACCACGATGTCGAGGATTCAATCAATCCCGTATACAATTCCCTTTGTCAATCGATATGTTACTTGTCCGAGATTCGATCGTCGGTATCCCAATACCTCGTTCAATCTCGTTACCGGTAAGTCACTTTACTCGTTCTGTAATGCATGATCACGTGACTAACTGCTTAGACACATTGAGCTCATTATGATGATGCATTACCAAGTGGGCCCAGAGATACCTCTCCGTCATACGGAGCAACAAATCCCAGTCTTGATTCGTGCCAACCCAACATACACTTTCAGAGATAACCGTAGTGCACCTTTATAACCACCCAGTTATGTTGTGACATTTGGCACACCCAAAGCATTCCTACAGTATCCAGGAGTTGCACAGTCTCATGGTCTAAGGAAAAGATACTTGACATTAGAAAAGCTTTAGCAGATGAACTACACGATCTTGTGCTATGATTAGGATTGGGTCTTGTCGATCACATCATTCTCCTAATGATGTGATCCCGTTATCAATGACATCCAATGTCCATGGTCAGGAAACCTTAACCATCTATTGATCAACGAGCTAGTCAACTAGAGGCTCACTAGGGACATGTTGTGGTCTATGTATTCACACATGTATTACGATTTCCGGATAACACAACTATAGCATGAACAATAGACAATTATCATGAACAAGGAAATATAATAATAACCATTTTATTATTGCCTCTAGGGCATATTTCCAACATCCGATACACGGAGTGACAAATCCTAATCTTGATCTATGCCAACTCAACAAACACCATCGGAGACACCTGTAGAGCATCTTTATAATCACCCAGTTACGTTGTGACATTTGATAGCACACAAGGTGTTCCTCCCGTATTCGGGAGTTGCATAATCTCATAATATGAGGAACATGTATAAGTCATGAAGAAAGCAGTATCAATGAAACTGTAACGATCAGCGTGCTTAGCTAATGGATGGGTCAAGTCAATCACATCATTCTCCAATGATGTGATCTCGCTTATCAAATGACAACTCTTTGTCCATGGCTAGGAAACTTAACCATCTTTGATTAACGAGCTAGTCAAGTAGAGGCATACTAGTGACACTCTATTTGTCTATATATTCACACATGTACTGAGTTTCCGATTAATACAATTCTAGCATGAATAATAATCATTTATCATGATATAAGGAAATATAAATAACAACTTTATTATTGCCTCTAGGGCATATTTCCTTCAACCCTCTGATTTCGACACGCAATGCCACAGCTAGAGATTCTGCTACCATAGCAATGTTTTGCTCCGAGTGGTTGATGTTGTTGATCGTCACCAAGAGGAGTCCCGGTGAGTCCACCTGAGCCTCGACAAGGTTCACAACCTCATCTTGTTGCTCTCGGTTGTGCCGCGCCTTGTGGTGCTCCCTATCCCAATCTCTGGGCTTGCCACAGTACCGACGATTCCCTTTCCGGTGCTCGTCGGAAGCACTGCTATTGCCGGTGTCGTTGCCATCGGCCTCGTCGCCGCCTAGGCCTTTGTTTCCCCTTGCCGCATTTTGTGACGGACGATGATTCTGGCCCGCGCTGACGCTGCCGGGAACTCCATTCCTCCTCGATGAGAAGAAGCTTACCGACTGATAACCCACAAGTGTAGGGATCTATCATAGCCTTTCCAAGAAGTAAAAGTGTCGAACCAGATTCATAAATAAGTACTTCCTCCGTAAAGAAATATAAGAGCGTTTAGATCACTACTTTAATCATCTAAACACTGTTATATTTCTTTACGAAGGGAGTAACATCTTTTGAAGATGTGAAAATGAGAAAAAATAAACTAAATTAGTTCAGTTGACTTTGTTGTTACATTTAGTTCATGCGCTTCGTGCACATAGGGGTGTCATGGGGCCTGTTAGAATTTGGTCACAGGCGACGGGTGAAGTCGCATGTCTTGGTGTAGTAGCCTTTGACATTTGGAATGACAGGCATGAGCCCCAACACAACCAAAATGATTGTTACCCATCCAATCGAATGCCCATTGGGCACGTATGGAATAGGGTCGCCGCCAGAGCCATCATAACCGGCCAACCGACCACACTCGGCGGAGAAAATATGCCCTCATCCATCATCAGAATCCTCCACCGATCCGACAATAAACACGTCGACAGTCTGTAGCAAATTGTCGTGCCGGCTATATTGGGACGTCAAAGATCGGTTGCAATTGGTCTTTGCATCAAAGGTTGGCTGCCTATGCATGGGTGCCCGGCCGCATGATCAACCCGTTGCATGAGTAACAAACAGGCCACATGTCACGTACCATTGCTTTTGGTCTAAAGCTCATATACTCTAACCGAATCCTCTCGACTTTGAATTTCAAAGTCACTAAGGGTCTTTCTCATTTAAACGGTTTTCATAAAAATTAGGAATGATTGTCCCTACAAGTGTTTTTTTCCTGCAGGAACAGTACAAGTGTTCCTTTACGTGGATTGTTTCATTAGCATTGAATCTTATAGGGTATTTTCGAATCATTCTTTCGCAGTATTTTCCCTAGGAAAGACTCTATTGCCTCCAGCCTCTTGGTTTTTTTGTTTCTTATATGATGTAATAATCAAACAAACAAAATTCGGTGCAACTTCAACCGTGTAGGAATGAATGAGGTGGGTATGCATTGCAGTTCTACGTTTGTACTATGACTAGGTTTTTGGAATTATATGCCATCAAAGATGCCCTAAAGTAGTTGTCCGACTAATCCGATTTCTGTGCATTGGCTGCTAATAAATTATTTCATCGCTGAAATCATGCCACTTTATCTTGGAAATGGCAAGCACATGATGCTGACACTCAGCCACAACTTTCTGCCTGCAAATTTTGAGAGCACATGAGCTCATTAAATCGTCCGGAATAGAATACCACAGCTCTAGCCATTGCGAGATGTTTCGCCCTGATGCTTCTAAATAATAATAGTACAATGACTTAGCAATGATACCTGATCGACTGTAGGATTATGCTGCTAAAGAAAGGCTTGCAGATGTTGTTTTTTCAAAGTTCAGAATAAAACCTTATCCATGGAGCAGTTTCAGCATGATGCCAGGATGACAAAGCATGCAGGCGAATACAGATACACACTTAGACAGTGACGCGTCAACATCGCACTAACCTTAACGTGCTTCCAAGTCCCAACGACCAAATACAAGCTACTCAACTTCCACTATAGCTATTACCGCAAAAAAAAAAAACTTCTACTATAGCTGCCATACTAACAGCACATATAATCCATATACCGCAAGTAAAAATGGGAAATCCAAATGATCTCACTTAAAATTGCCAAATATTTTTGTTTAAAATTGAGTAAAATCTATCCAAATGGGATGTTTTCGCAAGAGGAGACGTAGAACATGAGTCATTTTTCTATCTCGGTGAATCTGGTGCGCAGTGTCCGTGGCGAATCAGTGAATCGGGTACGTTCGGTATGGTAGTTCGATTACAACAACAACAACAATAACAACAACAAATTAATTACAGGCCGATCGCAGTGAACACAACTGGATAATTTTGGACCACCCATCCAAACGAGGGATCCGAATTCATTCGGCGAGATAAAGAGCAGGTGGCAGGATCAGATTCCACACTATCTGAAGCTGAGCTGAATGCTGCTGTAAAGGTGAGCTGAACTTACTGAACTACTCACCAAATGGAGAATACTACAGGTGGTCAGTTGGAGAAGAAAGATACAGTGGTACTCCAGCAGTCACTTAGGCAAACCAATTCAGCCTAATTATAAACCTAGAGATGGTCCGATGGATCATCGACCTCTTGATGACCCCCCAAAAAACACCAGCGTGTCATGATCATGAGTTCATGACACGAACACAATACACTCCCATTCATCACCTATACGAATGTTTACAGGTGGTTCTTGATACTATAGCGATGTAGTATGTTATCTCTGAACATTAGCTACTAGTTCACCGAAAAGCTTAATTAGCAAAACCATCGCCGGCCGGAGACGGATGAACACCGGCGACGAGCCAGTCGAGCCGAGCGAGCTACTTGCCGTGCTTGAGGCCGCGGGGTCCGGCGGACTTCTTGATGGACGCGATCCTCTGCAGCCTGATCTGCTCTCTGAACCTTGCGATGAACTCCTCCGCCTTCTTGTCCACCTCGTTCTCGTCCACCTCCGGCGTCGGCGGCGACTCCCTCGGCGAGTTCGTCCTCGTGGAGTAGGCGCCAACGCCGTCCTCGTCGTCGTCGCTGCTCTCGGTCTCGTCCGAGGAGACCGCCACTATGCCCAGGATTGGGTCGCTGCTCCTCCTCTCGTACTGGAACCTTGGGACGGCTTGGTACTCTCTGTATCCATATGGCTCTTCTGATCCATGCGAGCTATCCGGTGCATTGCCGGCTTCGTCTTCGTCGGTCACTTCTTGGATTTTGGGTTGGATCCCTTCTCTTGGCCTGATTGTTCTCACTGATCTACCGACTGACGGCGATGACGGCGACGAGGAGGAGCCATCGAAAGAGCTTCTTGGCGTCGCCGGCGAGGAGTTGGTGTAAGTAGATGAACTGTTGAAGCTCTGCGAACTCTGCTGCGAGTAATGGTCGTGGTCTCCTCTGCCTCTTGTGCTGTGATCCTGCAGCTCCTCCTTGAAGCTCTTCGCCGCAGTGGTCCGGCGGTCGGCCGCAGGGTGGTAACTGTGGACAAGGAACGGCGGGGGTGGCGGAGGCGGCGGGGGCGGTAGGGAGGAAATGGAAGACTTATACGTGCTCCTCCGCTTGGGGACGGTGGCGTGCTCCTCGCTGGCCTTGGCCAGTGTCTCGTCGGACATGGACGACGCGGGCGAGAGCCTCTTCGGCGACGGTGCGGGGCTGCTTGGAGTCGGTGGCGCGTCGAACCTCCCGGACCGTGACCGCCACGGGATCGGCGAAGGGAGCACGGTGTCATGGGCGCGTGGCTGCGCACGCGACTCGCCGTTGCCGTGTCCCGGCGCGGCGGAGTCCTGCGGCCTCAGGGCCCGGACGGGCAGCGACAGTGGCGCCTGCTGGGCCGCGGTGTGGCTCCGCCCGCCCCCGCCTGCCGCCACCATGACCACAGGCTCCTCAGGATGGTGCAGCGCGCTCCAGGACCGCGCCCCGCCGCCAGCGGGGCTGTCGGGCACGCCGTCGTCGCCATCATCGTCGAACACGAGGTCGCCCTGGAACATCCGCGAGACGTACCTCGCGTCCGCCTTCCCGGCCGCCGCGGCAGCATCCTTCTCGACCCGCCCCCCACCGTCATTCCTCCGGCTGAAGAGCCCGTAGGACACGGCGATCCCGACGAAGAGCAGGTGCAGCAGCTCCCACACCTTGGCCAAGAACGCCTGGCCCCCGCCCCCGCCGCCGCCGCCGTCCCCCTCCCCCGCCGCAGGCACCCGTGGCGACGGGAGGAGCGGGAGCAGCAGCACGCAGAGCGCGACCACGGCCGCCCTGAACGGGAAGCTCCCGAGCACCGACGCCGCCTGCACCACGGCCATGGCAAGAAGAAAAGAGAAAAGGGAGGCGAGGCAATGCCGCGGCGCGCCCTTTAAAGCTTTTCCCCCCGAGCCAGCCTCTCTGCTTTTGGCGCCAAGTAAAGTTGCGAGCTCGTGGTGGTGACGCACGGATTAAATTCCTTTCGCCCGCTTTATGGCCACCGGCCTACCTCGCCGCTGCTGCTGGCTGCTGCCATGACTTGGTAGAGTTGAGATCGATCGATCGATCGAGATGGCATCTTCTGTTTTTTTCTTGTTCTTCCATGGTAGTTCGAGATGGAGATGGGTGTTATTACTTCGCGATGAAGAGAGGAATTTTGGCGGGCAAAAGGGGAGGAATTTCGTGTCCAGGGGAATCGACGCTTCCATTGGCGAATCCACGCTACCACTAGCATGATGCCGTGTACATTCCTTTCCATGAGAGTCTCTCAGGTTGAATTGCGGAGAAACGGACGCAGGTCATGATTTGGCATGTTGCCATAGATTCGCACATCATGGAGTAAGGGGAGGTAGGAAACGGAAATCTTAGCATGTTTATGAAGACTTTGCTCATTCTCTGATGCAGCTGATATTGAGAAAATGGGTGCGCTTATGCATGATATGATCTTAAGAACTTAACATGCATTAAAGCGTATTATAATATCGGTGTAAGCGCATCCGTAATCGAACCCCGAAAATAAACTTCAAAAATCCGTTCTCACATCTAGCTCCAGTTTTTGTGTGAGGGTTTTGAAGGTTACATTCTATTCGAACGCCAAAACTATCTCCAACAATATCTCTTCGCATTAACATATACTCCCTCCCTCCTAAAATAAATGTCTTAAGACCAACTCTAGCAGACTCGTAAAATCCCGGCAAGTATACGGGTTCGGCCCTTTTTTTGCCAGAACAGAACCCGTATACTCGTTCGACCCGTAAAACTTTTTACGGCGGCCGGCAACCGCCCCCCCCCCCCACACACACACACGTGCGGTATATCTACGAGTTCGCGGCGCCGATATGGGTCGAACCACTATCCCTCCGCTGCCGTGATTCCCCCAATCCCCTTTCTATTTCTCGCCGTCGGTGAGTCCAATCCCGCTGCTGAACGCCACCATGTGGGGCGGAATGTGGAGCTTCGGCGGGAGGGATGACCCCGAGCGCCAGCGCTGTGTCCGAGCGAACAGTGTGAGGAAGCGCGCGGTAAGGAAGTACACCAACAAAGGCCTCTAGCTGCCGGAGTCGCTCCTCCACCGCGAGACAGAGAAGTGCGCCCGTCGGCACAGGCTGATCTACTCCGGCACGGGCTCCTCCTCCGCCCGGGGGGCGAGTCCTCGCACGCCGGTGAAAAGGAGGTGGCGGATCTTCCGGCCCTCCGCGTGGTGAAGTGGGAGCTCGAGGAGGAGCCAGTGCTGCGGGGCGGTGGCATCATCGGGCCGGAGGATTTCCTCTCCCGACCGAGGCGGAAATCTTCGAGCGGGCAATCATGGCGCGCAGCATGCGGGAGCGAGTGCTGCGGGGCGGTGGCATCATCGGGCCGGAGGATTTCCTCTCCCGACCGAGGCGGAAATCTTCGAGCGGGCAATCATGGCGTGCAGCGTGCGGGAGGAGGAGGAGCAGCGCTGGCGGTCGCTTGCGAACCTCGACGACGTCCTCCTCAAGCATTGGCTTGTGAAGGAGAAGGAGTTCGTCAAAAAACAAGACGCATGGCGCCACGAGAAGAAGGCACGGGTCGACATGTACATCGACCTCGTCTTCGGTGACGACGACTGAAGATGTCCACCATCGCAATGTCGCCGATGCACCCGGATGGCTCCGGTGAGCCAATTTTGGCATGTAGGGTACGGTGGCCGCCTACCCCCCTAGCTGTTGTGTAAAATTTATTGTATGTATGAATTATGTATGGTGATCAAGTACTATGAACTCGTTATGTTTGTCCCGTGAAGCCTTGAATTTTAAATTTACAGTTTTGTTTGAGGTTTTTGTTCTTTCGCGGAGGTTTTGGGCCCGTATCCAAGGCAACGACCGAAGTGTAAACTGAGTTTATAGGTCCACGCTTTGCGGGGTCTGCTAAAGTTGCTCTAAGCTTAGTACAACTTTGTAGTAAAGTTAATACAAAGTTGAGACAGTTATTTTAGGACGGAAGAAGTATTTAGCCACCATCTACATTACAAACATTTAGTATTTGATACAGTAACAATTACAATAAAGCACCAAATCCAACATTCATATTCATTGAGTTCAGCTGCTCTTTATGAATCTTTGCCCTCGTTCTCTTATATGGGAAAACTTTACTTTTGCCGCTCTAGCTTTTGCCCACTTTACTTATGCCAATCTAGAATTTAACATTTCACTTTTGCCACTCTTAGCTTTTGACAATATATCAATTTTGCCATTCAGTGGCAAAAACAAAAAATTTAAAATGGCAATTGTGATACATTGCAAAACCTAAGAGTGGCAAAAGTGAAATGAAAAATTATTGTTTTTGCCATTGAATGGCATTTGTGATGTATTGTCAAAAGCTAAAAGTGGCAAAAGTGAGATGTCAAATTCTAGAATGGCATAAGCAAAGTGGGTAAAAACTAGAGTGGCAAAAATAAAGTTTTCCCCTCCTATATTGTTGTTCCCTCTAATTTAGTACAATTTCAATTATGGTGCTCTCTTCTCGTCAAATTATCGCACATTACTTTTGAAGTTAAACTTCAACCAAGTTTATAGAGAGAAAAGGAGTATAGTGAAGTTCAGTCGCTCATGCAGACTCTGCGTGTTTTCGATGCAACTTTTGTTCAGAACTACACACACAAAAATGTACTTCCTTTATCCCATAACATAAGAGCGTTTTTGACAGCTTAGTTGTTGACTGATCTTGTATGATACTCCCTCTGTCCCATAGTGTCAAAGACGCTTTTATATTATGGGACAGAGGGAGTATCATACAAGATCAGTCAACAACTAATGCGAGGAAAGATTATTATGAATACATTCTATAGGATCATGCGTGCACTACCGTAAGGTGAACTCCAGTTAATTAATTGGCGATGTGATAAGATAACTCAAGATGGTCTGTAAACGGTGATAAGATCGATCCTACTTACGCTAAATTACATTTTTGAGGAGCGGCTGTGGAGTGGACAGGAACCATGAGACATGCGAGGCCGACCGGCGTGGTTAAGAAAATGGGTAGATTCTTCATCTTTTGGTAGGAGTACGCGAGCTTGTTGAAACTTTTCTCTCTCTAGCTTACGTGTGATCCATTCATCGATCGGTCGTGTGCCCGGCAGGTCCAAAGTTTTGCCTTTCCCCTTGATCTCGTTGAGCATGAGCATGAGCACAAGATGCTCTTCTTCTTTTTCCCAAGGATTTTCTATTTGTTAATACGCTCAGGGCATCTTCTGCTTTCTTATCGGTTTGAATTTCGATTGTGCTGCTTGCTCTCATTTCCCCCAACAAACCAATTTCAGCCTTTATTTATATCAGTTGGTTTGCTTAGAGTATCTCCAACAGATCCCTTATAATTTAGAGGAGTATATTGTCGAGTATCCTTTAACGCTCTATATTTTGTTCCTCTAAAAAAGTGTAGTTTCTAGTTTTAGTTTATATACTAGTATGTTTCATCTACATATTTGCACACATATTAAATCCAAACATAGAAATTAAGATTCACAAAATTCACAAATATTACAAATTCAGAGTTTACAAACCAAATTATTCAAATTGAAACACACAAAAGGGTTCAAGTGAATTAAAGAGCATGATAAAAGCACAACTATGAAGTGCTATGGAGTTGTCATCGTCTTCTTCCTCCTCCAATGACAAAGAGTCCTCGAAGATCTACTCCCTCAACCTCTTCATCAACACTAGAAGTGACTCGGTTCAATTCATTGCCAAAAGAAAAAAATGAGATAAAAACACAAAAGACTCAGCTAGGCAAATCGTTAGACACTTGAAGGACGGTGGAGATGTCACTGCTAGTCGGCTAGATTGAGCCCATGCCCAGGTTGCTAGTGGTCAGCGTGGCTTTGAGATGGCCAGCGGTCAACGGGGAGGCTCGGAGGAAGAAGACTAGTGTGTGATTTCGACGACGGGATTGACGTTGCGCCAATGATTGCGGTGATAGAGCTCAATTCCGGCAACGACAGTGACCGGCAAGCATCTCGGAGTGGGGCAGGAGGGCGACAGAGGGAGCGGGGTGTCGGGTGAGGCGCTGGGTGGTCGCCGAAAGCAACACCAATGACAATGCAACGTGGAGTGGCGAGGGTGCATGAACGGGATGGGAGGCCAAACTTTTACTCTACTGGTGGGCGGCCGAGTATATTTGAGAGTCGGGGCACCTCCAGAGTAAGAAGTATCGTCCTATAACGTTGATAGAGAGTCGTTTAGGTGCGGTTTAGAGGAGAAAAACTGGATTTTTACTCTGATGTGTGACGCCCTCGATTCAATCGTACACTAATCATACACGCAAATATGTACGATCAAGATCAAGGACTCGCGGGAAGATATCACAACACAACTATAGACACAAATTAGAATAATACAAGCTTTATATTACAAGCCAGGGGCCTCGAGGGCTCGAATACATAAGCTCGAAAACACAAGAGTCAGCGGAAGCAACAATATCTGAGTATAAACATAAGTTAGACAAGTTTGCCTTAAAAAGGCTAGCACAAAAGCAACAACGATCGAAAAGGCAAGGCCTCCTGCCTGGGAGCCTCCTGACTACTCCAAATCGTCAGCGGTCGTCACATAGTAGTAGGCATCCTCCGGGTAGTAGTAGTCATCAGTGGCGTCGTCTGGTTCCTGGGATCCGTCATCTGGTCGCAACAATCGGGTATGAGGGAAAAAAAGTAGCAAAGCAACCATGAGTACTCATCCAAAGTACTCGCAAAACTTACATCAGATCTAAACTAAGTATGCATATGTATCAAAGGAAAGGGTTGTATCTATGGACTAAACTGCAGAATCCCAGAAGGGAAGGGAAAAGCCTAGCCTATCGAAGACTAGCATCTTCTGGAAACCACTATCTT